GCGAGCTCATGAGGCGCTGGTCGTTGTGGCGGCGGCCGGCCGTGTCGATGAGGACGACGTCGAAGCCCCCGGCCGCGGCGTGGGCGACGGCGTCGCGGGCCACCTGGGCGGCGTCCTTGCCGTAGCCCTTTTGGTAGAGCTCGACCTTGCCGCCCTCGCGCGCCGTGAGCTCCGTGAGGTTGCGGACGTGCACGGCCAGCTGCTCGACGGCGCCCGAGCGGAACGTGTCGCCGGCCGCGATGAGGACGCGGTACTTGTTCTGCAGCAGGAAGAAGCAAATCTTGGAGAGGTTGGTCGACTTGCCGACGCCGTTGACGCCGACGATGGACATGACGTAGGGCCGCGCCGAGCGCAGCGAGACGGCGCTGGGCCGCGTGATGGCGTCAATCTCGCGAAGGAGGTCGAGGGAGCTGGTCGGCGTCAGCATCTTGGTGAGCGACGCTTCCATGGCCGACTGGATCCTCGTGTTGATGCCTGCGTTCTGTCAGCGTGTTGCTCTCCAGCGAGGGGGCAGGCTCGCTGCCAAAGGGGGCAGCAGCGCTTACTCTCAAAGTTGCCCGTCTTGACGCCGAGGAGCTCCTTCTCGACACCCTCGCACAGCCTGACGGCGGCTTCTCGCGCCACGTTCTTCTTCAGCAGATGCTCCTCCATGCCCTTCATGGCCTTGTTGAGGTCGTCCTGGGTGAGCGTCTTGCCGCCGACCACGTTCCTGAACAGGCCCGTGATGGTGTTGAGGCTCGACCCGAGGAGACCGTTGGAGGGGGCGGCCGCCTTCTCGGCGTTGGCCTTGGACTGGGCCGAGGCCAAGATGCTGTGCACCTCGTCGTCGAGGTCCTTGAGCACGAATTGTCCCTTGGACGTCGTGGAGCCCCATGTGGACGATTCGATTTGCTCGACCGCCGTGGAGCGCGCCGTCGCCGGCTCGGCGTCCGAGTCGCTCGCGATCGACTTGGCCGCGGTGGAGTAATCGAGCTGCACGCCGTCGTCCTCGTCCGCCATGCCGTCGTCGTCCCACTTCCTGCCCTTTTTGGCCGATTTGTTCGTCTTGAGGCGCGGCCTCGAGGCCTCGTCGCCAGAGGACACGGGCGCCGAGCTGGCAGCGTTCTGCACCTTGCGCGCGCGGCGCGACATCTTGCCGCCGGGGCCGGCCTTGCCCACGACGAGGTTGCTTCCGCCGGGGGTCGAGGGGCGCGACACTGTCGGTGTCGCGCCCGGGGTCGAGGCGGCCGATGAGACCTCGTTTGCACCCTGGAGGGCCCGGCCTGGGGTAGGGGGTCAGTATTATTGCATCTTGGGGTGTCGATTCGGCCAGGGATCAGGGCCTCGAGCGAGCATACCTCTGTAGTGTAGACCGGGCGGGAGAGGCGGCTCGTCGCCAAAGTTGCCGGACGCAGCCTCTTCCTGCTGTGGCAGAAGGCCTTGATCACGCGCGTGAACGTCGGGCTTGGCAGTGGTGCCCTCGAGCTCCTTGATCTGCTGGTCAAAGTAGTTGTCGAACTTGTCGCAGTCGACGATGGTCGTGCCGGGTTTCTTGAGCTGCTCGCCGTAGAGATTGACGAAAAGAGTCTTGATGTTGTCGACGAGCTTGTCAATCCACGACAGGTGCAGGAGTGATCGGTAGACGGCCTACAGGAAGACGGATGTGTGTGTTAGTCGGGCGTCGCCGGAACTTGGGGTAATGATGCGCCATCACGAGAGGAGGAGGAGGAGGAGGAGGAGGAGGAGGGGTAACGGTGGGGGATTGGGATTGCGCACCACGAAGATGACACCCAGCTCCTTCACAAAGGTGTACTTGAGAGTGTGCTGGTCGGTCTTGTAGGGAGGGTTTGTCGCTGCGGACTGGTCGTCGCGTGTGGCGGCATTGGCGCCCTTTTCCTCGATGAAGACGTCGGAGATGAAGCTGTTGATGAGGGACGAGCTAACTTGGGTGTATGACCTTGACCAGAGGACAACGCCAGAGGTTGTGATGATCTCGAATGCGTCCAACATGGTGTGTGATTAGGGATTGGGTGAGGATGTATGCGGGAGGTCGAGATGCTGTGGAGCTTGAAGGGTCAGATTGAGAAGAAGAGAGCAAAAGAGGTGAGCAGAAAAGAGAACGAGTACGTGAGGGCTCAGACAAGAGACGAGTTGGAGTTATGGAATCTCCGACGCAGACGCAGCTGTTCCCAAGGTGTTGCTGGCCCCCCTTCTCCCCAGGTGTGTGGCATGAGGTACGCAGAAGTGGGCGAGGCCGGCGATAGCGATAAGAGAATGTCCATCTGGACCCTTCGTGGCCACCGTGGAAGCTCCAGAGACGTGTTGGCGCACGGCATCCCCGCACTAGTGGGGACCGGTGGCACAATGTTCCGCGCGGCGTGCTCGCACGGTGCGCCCCGTACCATATAGCGCTGTAAATACAGTGCGCATCGCATAGGTAGCTCCAGCAGGGAGCAGCTCGACTCGTGCTGGCAGCCTGGAGCTGTGCAGGCTCAACCCTGAAATAAACACCTTGCCAGTTGTAGAGGCATCACACATTCAACATTACGAACACCAAGCGAACTCACCCACCACACACGCGCACCGAGACGTCTCTCGACACAAAACAACTGCAACCCATCCACCCATCCACCCATCCAAACCAGCACAACAGCACCGTCTGCTGTGAGGCGCCCTCTGGCTCCCTGCCCACGATGCAGCAGCGGCCGACCACATACGGGCAGTCGCCCCCCTTGCACCACCCCGTCCCGCAACACGTCTCGACAGTCCCCCAGCTCCGGTCTCCCCCTCCACCGGTGTCGCAGCAGGGCTCACAACAGGGCTCGCAACAGGGCTACGGCGGCAGCCCTTACCAGCAGCAAGGCGGCTCGAGCGGTAATGTCTTTGGCGCATACGGCCAGTTCATGAACGACCCGACGGCGCAGGTCGCGGCACAGTTTGGCCAGACGGCCTTCAAGCATGGCCAGGAGTACATGGAGCAGAACGTGGGTTCCCTGACCGGTCCGGTCGCTGCACCCCAGCATGGCGAGCTGTGCCCCTCCCCCGGCTAACATGGGCGCTCTCCCTGCAGTTCAACCGCTACGTCAACGTCAACGCGCTGAAGCACTACTTCAACGTCACCAACTCGTACGTCATCAACAAGATCTTCCTCGTGCTCTTCCCCTGGCGGCACAAGCCCTGGTCGCGCAAACAGGCGACGGGCCCCAACGGCCAGGACGGCTTCTACCTGCCGCCGCGCGACGACGTCAACAGCCCCGACATGTACATCCCCGTCATGGCCCTCGTGACGTACATCCTGCTGTCGACCCTCATCGCCGGTCTCCGCGGCCAGTTCCAGCCCGAGCTCCTCGGCATCACGGCGTCGTGGGGCCTCGTCGTCGTCGTCGTCGAGATTGCCATCCTCAAGCTGGGATGCTACCTCATTGGCATATCCAACGACTCGCAGCTGTACGACCTCATTGCGTACTCGGGCTACAAGTTCATCGGCATTATCGTGACGGTGACGGTCAGCGAGATTGTCAACGGCGGCAAGGGCACCGGTGGCTGGGTGGGCTGGACCGTCTTTCTCTACACGTTCCTCGCCAATTCGTTCTTTTTGGTGCGTCCCTTTTTCTCCTTGGCCTTTCACACCCACATGGTGAGGACAACTAGGTTTCCAAGGCTGACACTGGCATAGATGCGGTCGTTGAAGTACGTCCTCCTCCCAGAGAACAACATTCAAGGCGGCGGCATGCAGATGCAGACGGACTCGCGGGCGAAGCGCAACCAGCGGACGCAGTTTCTGTTTGGCTACTCGTACGGCGCGCAGTTGCTGGGCATGTGGGTTCTGACCCGGCCTTGATCTGGGGTGAGGCCATCCTGGGCGCGAAAGCAACACACAAACAGTCAACGTATGGGACAACACCTCGGCAGAGGCCATGCGAGCGCCAAGGTGCACCATGCGAGCGCCAAGGTGCACCATACGAGCACAACATGTCGATCCAAAGGGACTGGCTGGCAGGCACGCAAATTTCAAAGAGGGAAAAATGGGGGGAGACGCAGGCTCTGGAGTTAGGCACGGGAGCAGGATGATCACAGGTGTCGCGGGAGGTGCCTCGCATGGGCGTGGCAACAAGCGACGAGTTTCATGACTGGGCGTCAAGCGATTAGATGCGTGTCAAAAAAAACAGAAGAGGACTTGTCTTTTTAAAGCCAGGCGTGTGGTTCAGAGCGTGACATGCTGCGGCTGACATGTGCGTGGTCCTTGGTCCTCGGCGGAAAGGCGGAAAGGCGGAAAACTGATGGCGGTGAATCTTCGGCAAAGATCAATGACCCCTCTGCGTTCCCCTCTGCGTCCACACGGTGTCGTCAATGGCTAGTCCCGGACGGGTTTAAACGGTCGAATCGCTCCCCCACATGAGCAGTGGTTGCAGTGGTTGCAGTGGTTGCAGTGGTTGCAGTGGTTGCAGTGGTTGCAGTGGTTGCAGTGGTTGCAGTGGTTGCAGTGGTTGCAGTGGTTGTAGTGGTTACCGCGCTGCTCGATACAGCCGCCTCCACAGACCATCTTCCGGCAGCTGCCGCTGGGCGCTCGCACGGTCGTAGCTGCTGGCGAACCCCACGTCGACCCTCCACTTGTCCCAAATGGCGGTCCTACATCCCGTCAGCTGTTGACCTACGCATCCTCCTAATCTCGAAAGCTGTCCCTTTGCTCGCTGTATACATGCCGTCGAGGCCTGTTCTCTTTCTGTTATGATTCAGTTACAATTCGTCGATTTTGGTCTACTGCTTGCACCTGTTCAACGTAATCGCCAAAGAGGACGCCGCCCTTTTAGCTCCTTTTGGCGACTGAGCTCTCTCTCCACCTCCACCAACATCACACTTGCACCCCGGACCGGATCCTCATTGCGACGCCGGGATCACGGCTCATTGATCCGTCGTTGATCGGTGTTCACATATAAAGGCCGATCCTCCACACAGTCCACAGTCCACAGCTCGGGTCCCTCGGACCAGCCTCTCTCTCGCTCGCCTCTGATACTCCCCAGAAACACACCGCCGACATGTCTCTGCCACCGATAGTCAGCGTGACGCTCCAGGGCGTCGTCCTGTCGGCGACGTCCAATCTTCTGGCCCAGGCCCTGACGTCGTTCCGTGACGATGTGAGATGCCCTTGGCTGTCCCGCTCGCTGCTTGCCGACGGCTGACCTTGTCTCCTCCAGAAACCCTTTATCGTCGACTGGGTCCCCGTCGTGCAGTTCATCATCTGGACCATCGTCAACACGCCGCCGAATTACCTCTGGTACGTCATGATCGCAGCGCAATGCTGGTGCTCCAGCCACTACGCATTCTTCGCACCGCCTCTGACCAACATCTCCAGGCAAGACTTTCTCGAGTCGACCTTCCCCGCCTACCACGCCGCGCCCACGACAGCCGCCGTCGAAAAGGCCGCCCGCTCCGACGACGCCGCCCTCGACCAGGCCGCCGCCCGCTCGGCCCTCGTCGAGCCCAAGCTCAACATGCGCAACACGCTGACCAAGACGCTCCTCGATCAGACGGCCGGCGCCGCCGTCAACACGTTCCTCTTTGCCCTCTTCATGAACGGCCTCAAGGCCGCCATGCGCCGGCCCGCCGGCCTCGACGACCCCGCCCAGTCGGCCGCCTTTCTCGTCTCGGGCGCCGCCGTCGACTACGCCCGTGTCGACTGGCGCGCCGTCCTCGCCCAGGCCCGCCGCGAGTTTGTGCCCATCATCACGGCCGGGTGGCGCCTCTGGCCCGCCGTCAGCCTCGTCAACTTTGCCTTTGTCAAGACGGTGCCCATGCGGAACCTTGTGGGCGGCCTGGCGGGCGTGGGCTGGGGGATCTACATGAGCCTGTTTGCGGCCGAGTGAGGGGCCCCTTGCTTTGCACGTGGCTGATGCCCGTAGAGAGGGGGTCATGACAACGGGGGACCATGCTTCATAGCGGAATGGATGCCACGAGGGGGAGAGACACCTTTGGCCAAAAGGGGTGATCTGGCAGGTGTTGCTGACGGGTGCATGAATGCCTCTCCATGTAGGCAGACGAAACGACGGGTTTTCTTTCAGCAGTAATGTTGCGCATACATGGCCTTGGTCATATGTTCAATTCACATGTTTTCCACGAACCCTGATGGGCCTCTACGATCTTTTGCCATGCGCCATGCGACATACCTTTAGGAGCGAGAACGGTCTCAGGTACTTTGGAGCCCAGCAGAGCCGTCTCAACCGCCCACTTGCAAGATGCTCATCTGATACAGTGCGATCAAGCGATATCATATGACTGGCCCGGAAGCTGAATTCTGCCACAATATCTGGAGCGCCCAGTACGTGCCGTTGAACCTGAGGTCGTTCTCGCTCCTAAAGGCATGTCGCATCCATCGGCTCTCACCCCGTGTCCCATTGACCACCTCCAAAGCTCCTCAAATTTAACCCCCCTCCCCGCTTTCAGACAGCACCGCATCTCCCGCCTACAAGACGGCCACGTGCCCCGGCTCAAAGTAGATGGACATGATGTCCTCGGGCGGGTTGAGGCCAAACTCGGGCACGAGGGCCTTGAGCTTGGCGTGCGCGGGACACTCGTCGTCGTACCAGCGCATGTCGGCGAGGCTCGCAAACTCCGTCTTGGCCACAATGGTGTAGCCCTTGGAGCGGGGGTCGGCGAGCGCGGGGCCGACGACGAGGGAGAGGATGTAGGGGGCGCCGTCCTGCGGTGTGTCAGCGTAGCTCCTGTTTGGTCGCTGTAGACTGTATTTTGGGCCGATCAGGCTCTTTTTTTCTGCTTCTTTTCCGGGTATAGCCTTTTCACGGGAAACATCTTGCATGACGGCGTGGCCTCTCTGCATCCATGCGGCACCAGCTGACGGGAAGACGGGAGGTAGAGCAGAGCGCACCTTCTTCTGCTCGGCAGACAGCGTCCTGTAGGCCGCGAGGAGCTTCTCCTGGTGGTCCTTGTTCGGCAGCTTGAACATGGTGACGCGGTGGACGCGGTTCGCCATGGTGACCGTCTGTCGCGGGCTCGCGGGCGGTGTCGTCGAGGTCGAGAGATGGGCGCGTGCGGCGGGCGGCTGGCTTTGCTTCCGCGTGCCTGGGGTTCGGCGCTGGAGGGCGAGACGGGTCGGGGGGTGGATGGCGTTGGGGCCGGACGAGGTCGTGGGCGAGGAGGCGGTCGGGTTCGTACGGTGCGCAGCCGAGGTGTGGTGGTTCTGCTGGTGGTGGTGGTGCGCGGAAAGCGTCGGGATGCGAGGGGGGATGCGGCGGAGCGCTAGCTTCATGCCACGGAGGGACGAGGGGGGGCGAAGAGGGGAGAGGCGGAACTATGTGCCTCGCCGTCGGAGCTCTTGATGATCTCTTGATGATCTAGCCTGCTGTGCGTGGGAGGGGGATGTGAGGTGTGTGTCTCTACCTTGGTCAATTGGGAGTGGTAGTAGGCTGTGAGGGGCAGAGAGCTGGGGGGGTGGGCTTTAAGTACTTTGCCGTCAGTTAGGATACCCCCCTCGTCCTTCGTTTGGGTGATGGAAGGTGAGGCACGACATGCCCCCAGTCGGACGGACCGGAGGGGGCGGGCGGCGCGCACCATGTTTTGTGCGACGTCCGTAGGCGCAGGCGTAGGCGCAGGCATAGGCGTAGGGGTGCGGCCAGAAGCCATCGTCCTCCATCCTTCATCCTCGTCCTGGCCGGGTAGGTATCGGCCCAGGCTAGACGAACGCGGCGTGGCCTCCAGCTAAGCTTCCAGATCCCGCCCGTCACCTTCGAGGGCAGGGGGGAGGGGGGAGGGGGGGGCCTCGGAGCCTCTGCGCGAACATCTGATCCCTCCCATCTGATCCCTCCCATCTGATGACTTGCCCGCCTCGCTGATGGACGGCTGGATAGACGCGTCGGCAGAGACAGCGTGTGCCCCTCCGTGTACCCGCTCCTGGGCCCCTCAGTGCCCCTCTTTCTCACGGTAGCATTTCAAAGCAGAGGCACCAAGACCAACGTGGGAGTATCTAATCATTACGTCTCGCATCCTCTGCTTAGAAATCTTGATGTATATTCTCGGCGTCTTCTCTTGCCATGAGGACGCATGTCGTGACAAGAAATCATGGATCCTTTTGAACGAGACTTGGGTGCTGGGAGAGTGACATGACAGTGGGCAATCCCCCTCAGGCTAAATCGTGGGGGGTGGATCAGGGGGTGCCTTGTTACCCCACGTCGAGGTCTCCCTCCTACCATCTCACCAAAACATATCAGTCCGGGGGGGTGCTACAGAGGTGCCTAGGTACCGTAGGGATACTAACATGTAGCACCTCGCACACCTGCTTAGCAGCACCATCCTCAGGCACCTAGGTACCTGGCACCTAGGTATCTGGCACCTAGGTACCTGGCACCAAAGCCCTTCCAGAACCCAATCGCGATAGCCTCGACCAGCACCTCCTCATCGGGCCACTTTCCCACGCCTCAGCCAATGGCGAATTTCTCCGTCTCTGACCTCACACCCCCAGGCGCGCACCTCAGGTACATGCACCTCTCTGCTCCGATCCATCACTGCATCTGCCATCTGCCATCTGCCTTCCGCCATCTGAACCCTGACCTCCAGACACCCTACATCGTTCGAGCGCGGCTCTGCGCCCATGTGCGTTCCCAGGGTCGCAATGTTGGTGAGACAACCGGGGCCATGCACATCACGAACGAGCCTCCCGCTTCAGGCCACCACGAGAGGCCAGCACCACCTCTCATCTCGTCGCAATTAATCCGTCCGCAGGCCGTCCGGCTCGTCCCCCCTCCTCCCTGACCTGCGTACCCATCTATTCCTCCGTCCTGCCGACCCTTCAACATCACTGCCGCGTGCGTATCATCCAACACCACCGCCGTGTAGGCATCTTGGCGTTTTGCTTCTTGTTCATCTTATTGCTGGCTGCTTGTATCCTGCAGCCGACTCGTTTCATCCAACGCCTGTGGCCTGATTCTTCCAGCATCACCATGCCTTGCTACCTTGCTTTGCTTTGCCTTGCCTTGCACTGCAAATCTCGCCTCCTCATGACATGTGATGCGGCCATCAGTGGCCGTGCTCTTTCCTCCTTTATTTTTCCCCCATTCCGACCCCGAACCTCATGTTCGTATCGCCGTTCCCCTCCCCCCCCCTTCCCATCGTAACATGCAGCACACATGAATCCGAAACATCGACCAACGAGTAACATTGCCTATCCTTGCCGTACAGCCGCCGCGGAGCTCAAGGCCCGTACCCGCCGTACCACGACGTGCATCTTCTCAATGAGCTCCGGCATCCGATATGGCTTGACCAGCACGTCGTCGCAGCCTGCCTCGCGCGCCTGCTGCATCTGTTCCGGCCGCGCATTGGCGCTGACCGCGATGATGGGAATCCGGCCCCCGTCGTCGCCGCAAAACACCTTGCCCTCCTTTTCCATCGCACGAATATGCCGCGTGCACGTCAGCCCATCCTGGATCGGCATCTCCATGTCCATCAGGATGAGGTTGATGACGAGGGGCACGCTTCCGGCCTCTGCCGTCGTTGTCGTCTTGACCGCACCTTTGCCGCCGCCTGCCTCTTCTGGTCTTTCCTGCACCTTCCGCTGCGCAACTGACTCTGCCAGTTTCTCGAGCGCCTCGAGCCCGTGGTTGGCAACGTCCACTCTGAACCCCCGGTCGTGAAGGCCGCGCCGTGTGATCTGCTGGTTGATCAGGTTGTCCTCCACAACCAAGATTCCGTCAAGCCGATGGTCGCGCTGATTGCCCACTTGTCGCTTGGGCCGTTGGGTCACAGACGGCGTCCGCGCTTTCGTCACCCCATGTCCCGCTGCAGGCTGTCCGGGGCTCGGTGTGCCAAAGGTCAGAGGACTGGTCCTCGCGGCGTCCGTCGCGAACTCGGCCTCCTGCCTGGCCTCTTCCGTTGGGACGTACGACTCTATGTAAAAGGCAAACGTTGATCCCACACCCGGCAAGCTCGACACACCGATAGCGCCCCTTTGCAGCTCCGTCAGCCGGCGCGAGATGAAGAGCCCGAGGCCTGAGCCTCCGTACTTGACGTGCGTCCGCGAGCTGGCCTGCACGAATCGGTTGAAAAGATTGGCCTTTTCTGCCGCTGACAAGCCCTGGCCCGTATCCTTGACCTCGAAGATCAGGTAAACCGGATTATCTCGCCCTTCCAGCGCCGGTTGCTCGTACTCGGAATCCTCTTCGCACGAGCGCGGGATGAAGGTCACCGGAGACGTCTCGTTGGTGGGCCTCTCACGGGAGCCCTTCATCGAGACCGAAACGTTGCGTGTCGACCCCGACTTGGTGAATTTGAGGGCGTTGGTCAACAGGTTGATGAGCACCTGCTTGACGCGCGACGGGTCGAGATCCAGATACTCGTAGCCTAGATCCTTGTACGACTGGTCGACCGTCATGGTAAGCTCGATATCTACCCGCCGCGCCTCCACGTCGAACATTCTCAGTGCTTCTTGCCCGATCGACACGGGGTTCACTGTGCACGGCGTGACAGCCAGCAGCTTGGAATCCAACTTGGACATGGTGAGAATGTCATCCACAATGCGTTTCTGGTGTTGGGCGCACGCTACAATCGTCTCTGCATTGTCGATACTGTCGGCAATCAGTTGAGAGAGATCGACGTGTCCATCGCCATGCGAATCCGTGGCAGAGGAGGCTGACCGCGGGCTTCGAGGGCTTCGGGGGCCATGCTCCAAGAGCTCTTGGCCCTTGGCCAATGATGCAATGATGGCATCGGAACAGTGGATGATGGCGCTCAGTGGATTGCGCATCTCGTGCGATGTCATGTCGATAAAGTTATCCTGCTGCCGCTTCGAATCAATCGCCTCCTCTTTCCTCTCCGTTTCGAGCTCCAGTTGCCACTTTGGCAGCGACACGTCGCTGAGGCACCCAGTAAACGACTGTACCACGCCGTCGGAATCCCGCACAGGCATGAACGTCGCGTTCACCCACCGCGGCGCAGTGATGCTATTACCCGCCACGTCCTGGGCGATCCAGGTAGTCTTGAGCCTAATCTCGGCTACTTGTGGTTTGGCATCTCGACTGAGGCGTGCCAGGCTCTCGGACAGAATCGGTAGGTCCTTTTCCACAACGCAAGTGCTCCATGGGCGAACCACAACCTTCAGGGGATTGACCTTGGCCAGCCCGCAGAGCTCAAAAAATACATTGTTGGCACCGAGCAGGCGACCACTCATGTCCATGTCAAACATGCCGACTGTAGCAAGCTCGGCCATGCGTTTGAGGTTGCCCGCCTGCTGTGCTCGCATGATGGCTTCGTCGGCTACCCTCTTGTGGGCAGTGACGTCGGTGAGGCAAGTAAAGGTTCGAATAATGGTGCCATCACCCGCACGCTCAGCCTTTGCCTGGGCCATGACATGTCTTTCTGTTCTGTCTTGCGCCGCCGCTGCCAAATCAAGGCCGGCATTCTCGAATGGCGATTGCACTCGCATCGGCTCCTCCTTGTGATCAGCCTCTCGTATGCGGAATTCAAAGTCAACCTCATCCCGGCTTTTCAGTCTTTCATACGCTTCTCGAATCTTAGGGCGGTCTTCCTCCAGCACACAAGCGAGAAAGCCAGCGTTTGAGACGGGCCCCTCTGGATACCCCGTGATGCGATACCAAAGTCGGTTGGCAAAGGTGATATTGCCTTGGTGATCACCGATTGAGAAACCGTTGGGGATGAACTCAGATACCGTTTGGAACAGCCTCGTGTATTCGATTGTCTCCTTCATCTGGTACGCCAGCTTCTCTTTAAGCATGGCGTGGTCATAGGCCGCTTGTTCGGCAGCAGTCCGGCCACGCCGTCTTTCCTCTTGCAGCAGCACGGTACAGGCAAGAGACATGCTTAACTTTTGGTTGAGAAGTCTGATGTAGAGCTTGTACGCATCGTCGTAGGGCCGGCGTGGGTTGAGACCTAGTATGAGGACACCCATCTCCTCCTCATCCCTCGTTGGACGGATGGGAAGAACAATGGCGAGGTCACAGGGATCACCGAAGCCACGCCACTGAAGCCCTTGCAGCAGGTCCTCCGGCAAGCTTCCATCAGCTTCACTAATCAACAAGGGTTTTCTGCCTTGCAACGCCCTGCGAATCTGTGGTGCCAGCCCATCGTCAGCTTCACTCAGGCGCAGCTGCTCAGGGGTGATGGGGTGGCCTGGCGGAACACCCAAGGCGCCTTCAAAGTGACAAATCCGTGACGATGCGTACTTTGTGGTCGTTCCTTCGCGTACGCTTTCGTCCTTCTCGATAGAGTACAGAATTGCCAGTGGAATATCGTACGCCGGCTCATAACTGGCGAACTCGTTAATGAGCTTGCCCCACAGCGACTTGACATCCTTTGCCGTGCCCAGCTCCTCACCCATGTTCACCAGCATCTTGATTCGTCTTCGGAAAAGTTGATACATCGTGGTCTCTGAAATGTGGTGGACGAAGCCGTAGCACTTGTTGTCCTGGGTCAGCGGCACGATAGACCACTTGAGGTACGTCTCTAACGGTGGGCGGCTGGGAGTATCGACGAAGAAGCGCGTTTCGTCCTCGTTGCTGGCGCGTTGCTTCTTTACTGACGTATCCATGAGCTTCTGAATCTGGCCGGCCATGTCGGGAAAGACATCTCGCATGGGCTTGCCGAGAGTAGAAGGATGCCGTGAACCGACGAGCAGACTGAATGCTTCATTGTAGACCGTTGTGAAGTCTTCGCCCCAGTATATGGCTGTCGGTTGAGAGTTACAAAGCATCTGGCTGTACGTTTGTTGCAGGAGAGGTGGCCAGCTGTCCATGGGTCCAAGAGGTGTGCTGTCCCAGTCAGTAGCTTCTACAATCTCGAGGAACGATTCTTGGCCGTGTGCTATCTCGATAGCTTTTTGGTTCGGTTCACTCAGCACCCTAGCAGGTCGTGGCTTGTCGGGTTCAAGACGTGGGTTGACGGCGGGTGTTGTAGGCGCTGATTCTGTGAACTGGCTTTTGATCATGGAGCGGTTGAGATGATCGAGGCCGTCCAGGCGCATTTGCGATGACTGAACGCGGGAGATGGAAGGGGCGCCAAGGACGGCAGGCGCCTCTGATGGGTGGATTTCGTTGCTGCCGACAATGATCCATCGGGTCTGGAGTACGATCTTCGTCCAGATCGAGCCCCGGAACGAAAACGAGGGCGAGCCTGCACCGTCGGTGTTGATGATCCAAGACCAGAATGGTTCGCCATGTTGCTCCGGGAGCAGCGCAATGGTGCTCTGCAGATCACCATGGGAAGCCAAGGCTGGGTTTTGGTAGACGACAGTCGCATCGGTGACGGTATCGGACGAAGCTGGAAGCTGCACGAGGAAGGAGGGCCGTGGGTCCGGTTCCAGGAGCCCGATCGGCCACAAAGCTTGTCGAGGAGGGTCCATAACGAATGATCGATGCGCGCACCTAGAACCTAGGTTGATGGTTTTGGATAGGCGGCGCAGACTGAGTTGCTGGGTGAGCTGAGCATTCTCGAATCGATAGCGAGGCGTTCCGTCCTCACGATGCGCAAGCAGAACGCAGAAGTCGCCCAACCCTAGTTGAAGGCTGTAGAGACTGAAGGCGAAAGAGAAATCGAAGTGGTGGTAACGCAGGTCGCGCTATGCCAGCTAGCCGTAGGAGGTGGTTGCGAACCGCAGGTCGTCGGCGCAGCGGGGCAGGACAGGTGAGGCTCTACACTATCGGTCTGTGAATGTAGGCCCTCTTAGGGTGCGAGTCAGGGCTGGCTAGTGGGTTGGCGGTAGGTCATATCTTTGAGGGTATTCTTGTCGCGTCTCGGCGAGGAACGGCGCTCCAGCTGGCGAGAAAGACAGGAAGAACTGGGTAGATGGAGCGTTCTGGGAGAAGCCAGTGGCCCCTACGAATCTTGCCAGGACTGGTTGGAGGGAGAGAAGGAGGGAGGAGGGGGCGGCAGGTGTAGCGGAGTAAGAACGGAGCTCTTCGTCCAGGAAGTCACGAGAAAAATAGCTGTTGTCTTCTCCTCCTCCCAAGGTAGGAAGGTGTACCTGGCCCAAGTGGGAGAACGGCGGTCGAGTCGGGCAGGGTTGGTTGATCACACACACGTGCCGCTTTCTAAGGTAGGTACGTGTTGAACAGAACAAAACAATCCAGGGCTCGGCAGGGGAACAGTCGAACGGAAGCTACTGCATGTTTGATGGAAGGAGGCACAACACCAGACAGGTCGTGAGGCAGTGGGAGGGGGGACGCAGCCGTTTATCGCAGATAGGTACCTTGGGTAGTAGGTGTGTGTCTTCCTTCCTTGTCCTGGGCCCCTGGCCCATGCTCCTCCCCTTCTCGGCCATGGGTAGGTACCTAAGGTAGGAAAGTAGCCTTCTAGCTTAGCTCACCTCCTCCTTCTCTTCTTCTTCTTTTTCTCCTTCCTTCGATAGGGCAGGCTAGGAAATGTGACTGGTGAGTGAGCTGGCTAGAAGGGCTGGTCGAGGCGAGCCAAGAAACGGGGTCGGTTTCCTCTCCGAAAGGGGGTGACATCCATCGAAGAGGTACCGCACCGTACTCGACCGCAGGTACCAGATAGCGTGTGGTCAGACGTGGCACCCTCCTTCACTCGGCTCTGAACTGACGTTTCTATTGATTGTCCTTTGACCCCTCTCTGCACTTTTCCCAGGAGCTAGTTGCCCAGGTCCTTCTTCCTTCGGAATTCAACAGTAAGAGAGCGGCGTTGTCGGCTCGTTCGTTTCTGAAGGCCCCCTAAACCAGAAGTCGAGTATGTAATCCAATCCAAGCAACCTGTTCCTGTTCACCTCTACCTAAGGTACCCTAGAGTTGTTTGCTGGCCGGCCAGCCAGCGTGTAACCTGTACATGGCATGTCTGCAAGGGACCCCATTCTCAAAACGGGGATGCGGGACCCATGCGTGGCCTGTACCAAAAACCCGCTACATGTACGTGAGGGAGGGGCTCGCAGAAGGAGTAGGAAAAAAGTTGGGGTGTCTCGTGGTCTCTGTTTCTTGCTGACGAACATGTCGAGCGCTCCATTCACAATATCGATTTGGCCCCATCGTCCCACGCTGCTGCCCTGATTCCAAGGCCACGGACTCCGGTGCCCTGTTTAGCGCAACGCTAGCGTCAGCGCCTGCATCCCCATCTGGCGGCTTGACAGGCCACTTCGGGGGGGGGGAAGGGTCCCTAGCGTTGGATCCCACACTGCATCGGACGCCCGGACGGCACACGCCGCGGAAACGGCACCGCTCATCCTGCCTGGTCCTGGTCCCCTCTCTACCAGCCAGCCAACTATCAATGGTTCCAACGCCAACAACGGTGCGTTGACTCATGTGGAAGGAGGAGCATCAGCTCCTAATTTCTCGACGGACTGATGACCAGCTCCTCATGCTCACCGTGGCGGCCCGGGTGTTGTTCTGTCGTTCGGTCCTTTCGCGACGAGGAGAAAGAATGGGGTTGTGAATGAAGGTGGCTTGGGTAGCTCGTGGGAAATGACGTCTTGAGTCACGTCATCGGTACGAACTCTCTGTGTGCACCCTGCGTTCCAACAGGTCATGCTCCATTGCGTCTTGGGCGAGGAGAGGAGAGACAGGCCAGATCGCGACGGCCTTGGTGGTCTGAAGGCATCGTCAACGCTGGCCAAGCGATTCCAGACCGTCGGTGAGGGTCATGGATCGTCGGTGGCCCCTCTCGCTCTGGCGCCTCGTAGGTAGGGTGCCGCTGGATTTATGTGCCCTTCTCTTTGATCGTCTTCCGTGGCTGTCGCTAGATCGCCTGACGTCATTGGTTCCTCGCCTGCAGGTCGCTAGCTTCTGACGGATGCACGGCTACTCCACCGTGATCTCGCTCAAGTTTTGACGTTTCTCCATGACAAGCAAGGGCCCCAAGTCGAGAGGAAGGGGCTCCGTCGACTAATCTGTTTGGCATGAAAATGGAGTGAAAATAATGCGCTGCAACATGCTCCCTCTGTGCTCCCATCCTCTGTCTTCTAGCCCTCTACACATCTGCTTTTTCGGTCTAGCGCTGTTTGTGAGGCGAGGGGCGTGCAAGGGGCCCTGAGGGTCCCGTTCCACTGGCGCATGGTAACCAATCTTCTCGGCGGGCTTCAAGGCCTCTCTCCTGTCTTGGGCGGGCGCCTTCATGTACCTGGCTACCTGTCCAGCCGGAGGGACCTTGCCCTCGCTTCGGAGGTATGCATGATATGTCCAGACCGCTGCCGGTGTACCTGACTGGGCAAAGGACGGTTTCTCGAGCGCCGTCCGTGTCGTTAGCGCCTCCGTAACGGCCGACCACCCGTTGACATGTTACGGAACCCCGTGCTGAGGTGCCTGTGTACCTGCCTGAGTGGCCTACCATATCGACGCACTCGGCCTTTCCTGCTACGCTGCCTTCGCGCCTTCTCCGATAACAGAACATGCCTCGAAGCACCCCGCAAGCATGCGCCATCTACCAGACCAACAAGGGCATCCTCAACACCTCGAGAGGTAATTTGCAAGAAAAAAAAAACCGAAAAAAGACCTTTTTCGGATGCAAAACCCACTCGGTGCCGATGGAGTCGGTAGTCTGGAACCTCGGGCTTCGTCCTCCCCCGAGTCACGACCCCGACTTGCCCTATGCGGCCCCGCAACTCGCATCTCGCACTTTCGGTGCCAATGCCAACCGCGACGTTCTAGAGTAGGTAGCTCGGCGAGAACCATCCCGTCCAAACTGTCCGCACGAGAACATCGGAAAAGAGATCGAAAGAGCCGCATACCCATCATGTCCGTTCTCGCGCATCGCGATCCCCCACCGAGCCTCCGAGAACAGGACCCAAGAAGAAGGAGAAAGAAAGAAGAGGTCAGGGCTTGGTCTCCCCCCTTCCTGTCCCAGCCAAACGGAAACTGACTCGCCAGCAGGGCCAACCCCAGGAACTGTCCTCGAAAGCCCTGCATGTTCACTTACAGTACCAGATTACCTGATCGTGCCCCCCTCCCCAGTCGCCTCACCATCATACCTATATTTGCCGTGCAAGGTTCCACGATTCGTGTGTCTCTCTTTCTGTCCCCTCCCCCCCTTCCCCCCCACTACCCGTCGGGAGAACCAGCCGAGAAGTGAACCACCTCCCTGCAAACAAGGCGAGAAGCTCTTTCTTCCCAAGCTTGAGGACACCAAGCTCAGACAACGGGACGTTTCTCACGTAACTGTCCCGGCGTCTGCATCAGCTGCCCGGTAAACGAGGCAGACAGGCCTGATCGTATTGCGTAGCTCGCAGCGGTACAGTATTAGCTCTTGACGTATAGGTACCTAACAGGGAGCAAGGTGGCTGCAGTCGGCGTGGCACCTACAACTGGGTCTGTCGTCTTCGGCTGGGTCTAATGGAAGTATTATGCTGACGACTGTTTCCGTCACAGGCACGATCACTGACATGTGGGTCATTTCACGGTCCTCAGTGGAACGATCGTGTAGATATTTGCAATCTGTCCAAGCAAGGGTATACAGCTCCCGAACCATACTGATACTTGGCCAGCATTGGCTAATAAGACAAATTTCCCATGATGCGTCTCCAATCGCGGCCTCCATGTAATGTTAGCTTTCCGGCGGTGCCGTCCAAACCAAGCAAAAATACAATCCGATCTCACTGGCAACGTAACAATATCTAACAGAGAATCCTAAACTGACAAGCGTATCAAAGCTGAGGAAGCCACGCAGCGATTTGGAATGGCTGGAAGGCTAAGCTTCGGCAATCCGGGTAGATCGAAGACTGCCGAGATCACTGAGGTCTGTCTCCGGACTGTGGTGCTTATCATTTCTCTCCTTGGCTGCGGCCACAGCTTCGTGAATCGACGTCGGATTCTTCTCGTATGTAAACAATGAGACGACCAAGGTACCCACTGCGACGTACATCAACACCTTGAGTTCTTCGGAATATGCTGTGGCGTAGACTTCACGGACGGCCCCCCGTGCCTCGTCTGGCCATTGCGTAGCAGAAGAAGGGGATCGGTGCAGATCGCTCATTTGTTGGGGTGTGAGCTGCTCGCGCAGTGCCGTGTTGAAGTGCGTGTTGAAAATGACAGTGGAAACAGCGATACCGATGCAGCCACCGAGGACTCGGGCCTGCGCCATTGCGCCGTTGGCAACAGCAAGGTCATTGTGAGCCATGGTCTTGACGGCAGCTAGGATAGTCGCGGCGCTGAAAACAAGACCAGTGCCGAGACCAAAGATGGTCTGGTAAACATAACTTTGACGGACGCTTTCATCAGGATCGTCAAGGGTCGACATGAGACCCAGGCCCATCAGTTGCAGTGACGCTGCAGCCATGAGTATCCAACACAAGAAGTTCCGTTTGCTGCAGATGGCGCCTGACGCAAAAGATCCCAATGCGCATGCTCCCAGCATGGGCAATAAGTGGACGCCCGCCTTCAGAGGTTCGTCGCCGTAGATGATTTGGAAGCGTTGGGGAATGTTGATAGTCAGAGGAACGAACGGGAAGCCGGTGAGAAGGGTGACTAGCAACCCAGTCATGTACACACGCTCGGTAGCAAGCCGGATTGGAAAGAGCGGCTGGATGTGGGGGAAATGCTTCTTGGCCAACAGGTACTCCCAGGTGAAGAAGACGGCCCAACATATACTGGCAATGGTGAGGGCCGTAACAATCTCTGGGTTATCCCACGCCGCCGCGTACGATCCACCACGTTGAAGACCGTAGGCTAGAAACCCCGAGGCACTCAGCAAAGAGAGGCCGCCGACGAAGTCGATGCTGACAAACGCAGACCACGTCAAGATCTTGGCCATCTGAGGTTCCTGAGGCCAAAAGCAGCTGATGGCTCCGAGAGCGACGAGGCCGAAAGGAATGTTGATGTTGAATATCCAGCGCCAGGACGCACTCTGCGTAATGAGGCCACCGAAGAGAGGTCCACAGATGAAGGCGCACGCCAGGACACCTCCCATCATGGCCCCAACCAGGCCGGGGCGATGGCCGGGGCCAATCTCAACAATGCTGATCTGCGCAATGCTGTAGAGTCCAGAACCTCCAAAGCCCTGAAAACCACGACAAATTATGAGCACCGGCATGCTAGTTGCAGCGCCACAGCCCATGGAGAAAGCGATGAAAATGGTCCAGGAAAGGAGGAGCAAGTTGCGGCGACCATAGATGTCGCTAAGCTGGGCTATGCCGGTGGCGAATGCCATGTAAGTAAGCAGGTACGCAAGTATCACCCATGTTGAGCTGGTGAAGTCGTCGAACTCTTTCGAAATGGCAAGGAGTGGGATGGAGACAATGCAAGTGTCCACGGTCGAGAAAAGAAACCCCAGCAGAAGGCTGACATATGTCAGTGTTGCTCGAAGACAGCTCGGACATGTGGCCTCTAATATCGACATACCAACAAACCAGGACTGTCTGACGCGCTTTGCTAAGAGGCTGTCGGGGGTGTAAAAGAGGGCCAAGGTCTTTATCCCTTCCCACCCGACCGAGGCGTACGAAGCTCAGATCAGCGATATCTCCGAGGGTGTGATTGGGGTATGAAAGCTGGCTGGTCGACAAACGGCGCCGGGAGGTCTGATGCGAGGTTTCCATCGTCGCAAGCGTTGACCGGATGTCGAATGATCTCGGATGGAGAGATTGAACTGTATGTGGAAGAGACCGTGAGGGAACGTGAAGTATTGTCGGCGTTTCTTCCTGCAGAGGGCAGAGTGTGGTGGAGGGGCAGAGAGGAGCAAAATCAGCCAGACAGAACAAGAGTGAAGTCTGTGTACCAAGAGGGAGACAAGGCAAGCAGATGTGGGCAGAACCGACAATCGAGCGGCCGGCAGGAGTTCTCGTGAATAGCACCTGAGGTACCTAGGTAGGCAGGTCTGGGCATGTGGTCGCTCAGCGCAACAACTGCCTTTAGCTGGAGGTGGGATCAGAAGCAACGCCAGTTGCAACCGCCAAACCTGTCGCCTCCGTCGAAGTCCTTGATAACAAATTAGGAATGTTGGCAGAGATACGTGTGTGCTTGCCACCGCGAGTCCCGTCGATCGATGAGAGCCCTCCCTAGGTATGCTATTCGTGGCACCAGGGTGACGCCTGACCTTTATGGACTTGAACGACGATGCTATTCCTTTCAATCGCTGCCCCGGGCCACTTGTCTTGTCAGTAAAATGAAAACTAGATACCTGAACACGTTCCTTGGACAATAGAATACTCGGCTAATAGTGGTGCATCTAGATGTCTTCAATACAAATTATTGGATGCGCATATGCAGTTCGCAAAGACATGGGTAGGGGGTCTATGACAGCCGTTGTCCGCCAGAGGCAGCCGTGAATACTCTTCTCTTACCCGAATAAGAAAACCCAGAGTGTGGATTTCATTCTGTATGAAACTGGATTGCCGAGACAGAGAAGAATACGTCGGAGAGAAGGCACTGGTGGCCACAAGCAGACATGTCTTTGAAGGAATCGGGAAGGTGAATGAGATCTTTTCTGACAGTTGCACACAGTGAAGACACGGCGAGAAAGGAGCCGGGCTTTGTGTTATGAAGCAAGCGGGAACATCAGATACAGTAAGAGGTCCATCATAGATTGCAAGTGTGAAACATCCCTGAATTCCTTGGATGGCATTTTGTCTGGCTGGGGGGATACTCCGCTCAACACTGCGATGGGGCTACGCATCAGGGCGGTAGACCAGCTGTCCCGCGAGGTCAACTGAGACCTTCGGTAGCTCTAATGGAGTACGAGACTGAAACATGAGTGGGTGGGAGTCATGATCAGAGTGAAGAGGAAGCTTTTCAAGGTCGGTATAGAAGCTTGAGTGGACGTGTTGCCTATTAGGCGCTTCGACATTCACTCCTGAAGCGTCGAAACATCGCCGAATCGGCTTGTGAGATGACAAACCTGCCGAGAAAGACATTTCTGGGCGTAAAGAAGCCAGTCGCGGCTTGACGGAGAGCCTTGTACTAGGCTTGATGAGCAGCGCGGTTGGACAAAGACGCCCCTGAGCCGGTTCCTTGGCAGATGCAATTGGTCGAGTAAGACAGATACATGCAGTACGCCGAGTATTGTGATCGCTGAGCGTACAGAGCTCTATGAACCTTGCAGAAATATAGCATGCAATAGCTTGTAAAGCAGTTGTGGTGAACACATTGCTCTGGAAGAAGGAGGCATCTAACACGTGCATCAGCGATGTTGCATCATCGGCACATTTCCCGGAAATCTTCTAGCAAAAGAGGGTTTGTCGTATCAACCATAAGATCAAGAGGTTGAGAAGATCTTCTCGCAAAGTGGACCGGAGATGACAAGGTCAGTAAACTTGCGTGACGCAAACTGCTCGTAGCACAGCTTGTCTCGTAGATGAGCGTCGTCAGGCAAGACGAGGTGATAGCTTGATTTGTCTCCTTTGCTATCAGAATCAGAGGCAAACCTTCGGTCGCGGTGTTCCAGCCGTCCCTCCGCACCTTGCCCAAAGATTCAGCTTGCATCGTGTCGTAGGCGAATGGCATCCGATGTTACACGCATCCCAGGTCGGCCACTACCGAGGGAATTGAGGCGGCCTAGCATTGTCACCGCTGGATGCCTTCCTCGCATCACGGCGAGTCACTCAACGCTTGGGAAACGACTTTCGAATCGAATGATGCTGAGATTCCATTGTATTCGACAGGCGCCAAAAAATTTGGAGTCGTCTCCAGGCGACGGATTGATGGTTGATGTAAATGAGGATTGCTTGACGACCAGTACTGGGCGGCAGCAGTAAGCCTGGGGCTGGGGTAGGCATGGATGAGGAACGTCAATATTTCAGCACGGACGCCGGAGACGAGTTCTTCCGCCAGCACGTGGGGTCCAACCACCAAGGATACCTCATCCTTCCCTGACCACCACCTACCAAGTTCCGGGCGGCCTCTCATGCCCCTAGACGATGCTGTTTTCACGAACTCGTAGCCCTCGAAACCGTCGACTGGGTATGGCCAGGCCATCTCTGACAGTATGACAACGCGAACAACGGTCAATATCGTGTCTAACGGTTTGCTTCCATACTCACCAGTGGTCGAATCCGCAAGTCCACGCCGCCTAGCTTGATATTTCGCTTCGCAGCCCTGACCAACGAATTCAGGTGCCACATTGGTACCCAAATGAAGTGTGAAGGTACGGAAAATTCAGCCATGAATGTTACTTTGATACCAATGCCTTCAGCCTTTGTTGTGAGCGTCTCTTTGAAGCCCTATTGCGCGTACATCTTCCGATACGAAACGCAACCTATCTGCAGTCGATTTGTTCTGTGATTTGCAGCTAGTACAACGCTTCGCAGTGTGGCTGCCAACCTGAGGTGTAAGGGGACTATGCTTGTGCTGCACCGCAAGTTTTTTTTCGCTCGCTACCACTCCAGAGGTTTGGCACCAGTCTTCTACGAGGTAAACTGAGATGGTCTCTGCGAAACCGATGCACACCAACGCGTTCGTCCGGTGCAGGTTGACATCCGGACTAACGGATGCCTGCAGCATCGACTGGCTGCCCAGGCGTATCAATGTGCGCCCTCACACGCACCGACGGCGTCCCACATGCTTCAAATGGGCGTAGATCGTTGATCTGAAAGGCTTTTCGACGGCAGAACGCGATCGTCCGAAAACTCTTGTCCGAATTCCTAGGCTGGACGTTGAGGAATATCTCTGTCAGGTCCCAAAGGCACAGGTCCTACCAATGACCTCCCGGATTATAGGCCGCGTATGGCCCGAATACGTGGTCCCGGATCTCACTCGGGGACGACAACCATGAATGTCGATCGACAGTCCATAGAAGGCACGTCAACAACATCGTAGGAGGCAACCCAGCTCACTGCATGCTCTATTCTTACAATGTTAGGTTTAATTTTGCGAGGGAGTGGTATAGAGTTCTAGGATCAGAATGATTGTGTGTTTGCTCGTAACTGTTAACGCAGCCACATCTCTCGAGATTACTGAGTTTGGAAGCTCACTGCCTTTGAGAAGTAAGTGGGGACCCATGGAGTGCCTCCACCCGCGAGTATAACATGGAGCTTATGCGTATTGTGAATTCCTCAAAGATGCCTGTGCCTGGGCAACATATAAATATATACAACAAAACCTACGGGTTTTGGCATCGCTCGGGCAGAGCATCATGTCAGTGACCGTTGCAGTGACAGTTTCCCACCTTTGTTGACACCAAATTCTTTACAGAGACTGGTTATGTTTGATGCTCGACTTGCGTCATGATACTCTATCTATATTGGAGATCGCACAGTCTCGTCGTGAATCTCGATGCTCCAAAATTTATTGTCGACCTTTGAATGCATCATCGTCTGTTGATCGACCAAGCAGGTATATCTGATGAAATCGAACCATCGTTACTGAACGGCTATCTGGGTCTATGTGCCTATACCTATGCCTCAGCGTATTGAGGAACTGTGTTGTTGAACAGATTTCACTGCAGGGAAAGGAAGGCACGTCGCATTCACTAGGTACTTACGCGTCCTCTGCTTTCGAGGAAGGCACACCATCATCACAACAACGCGCGCCCCATAATTCGTCAACGACTGCCCTCAATCATCGACGCAGGCTCTTTTTTCTACCTTTTGGCAAACCATTGTCCTGCATTGACACGAAAGCCCGGAAGGCAGTTGCACTTTCTGAATACGGTGAGTGGAATTATTCCAGAGGCATATCCCCCGAACTACTGGGCGCGTCCACCTGCCAGTTACTTATTCAGACTCTTGATCCCATCAGCCAACGCCTGGCGGCCGCAATCATTCCGTCTTGCTGATCTGCGCGTTGGTTCTTTTTGAACTATCCATCCCTTCGCGCCGTCGCCCTTTCATATCGCCTCTTCCATATCTTCATTAAAGCTTGATGCTTCCTGGCCCAGCAGATCATCGTGAATCAGCTGGATTTCGAGCTACTTTTCATGTCCTTCCAGAAGAATCACAAACCAAGGGTTCACCAGGCACCATGGAGGATGATCAGTGCTACAAAGATGTTGGAGAGAGCATCGCCGTGATCGGCATGAGTTGTCGATTCCCCGGCACAGCAACTTCGCCGCAAGGGTTGTGGGAGATGATAAAGAACAAGAATACAGCTTGGTCTGAGATACCGCCTGACCGAGTGAACATGGACGGTTTCTATCACCCCGATGGTCAAAGACAAGGAAGCGTAAGTACTCTTCAGCCCTGATGATACCAAGCCAATGTTGACATTAAGATCCTTTAGATTTCATTTCGAGGCGCCCACTTTCTTTTGCAAGATCTTGCTAGATTTGATGCTGCAGTGAGTACAATAAATCACGTTTACATACAAAATGGCTGAAAGAGTCTTTAGTTCTTCTCAGTGACCGAAGAAGAAGCCAAAGCCATGGACCCACAGCAGCGTCTTCTGCTTGAAACTTCGTATGAGGCTATCGAGAATGGTACGTAGCCACTTGTCTGAGGATAAAATTTCTTGGAGCTGTATCATGGCTGACTTTTTTTGATTCTAGCTGGCCTGCGAATTGAAGATCTCGGGGGATCCGATACCTCCGTTTTTGTGGGCTCATTCGTCAAAGGTATGCTCCCAAAGTATGGTTGACTGCGTCCGCGTGACTGATCTCCAAACTTCAAGATTATGAGCAGGTTTCCCTCAGAGACGCCCACTACCAGCCGCGATATGCTGCCACTGGTACCGGCAATGCAATCTTGGCCAACCGAATCTCTTACTTCTACGACCTGCAGGGACCCAGCATGACCATCGATACAGGTTGCAGTGGCAGTCTTGTGGCAATCCATCAGGCGTGTGAGACCTTACGCCACGGTGAAAGCTCGATTGTATGCGCGATCATGACCATTGAATTCCACATCACAAGCTAACAACTACAGGCGTTTGCTGCGGGCGCTGGAGTCATCCTGACACCCAACACCATGATGCCCATGACCGCTCTGAACTTTCTGAGCCCGGACGGAAGGTCTTTCAGCTTTGATGCCCGAGCCAACGGATATGGTCGCGGGGAGGGCGTTGGCTTTGTCGTACTCAAACGACTAACAGATGCTCTGAGAGATCAAGACCCCATTCGTGCTGTCATCCGTGGTACGGGTATCTGCCAGGATGGCCGAACTCCTGGTAAGCTCCGAATTATGCCCTATCTTGTCTGTCGTCGATGTTCTTACTGACGCCACTGTGCCGCTAGGCATTGTCTTCCCGAGCACCAAAGCCCAGGTTTCAAATATCACAAGTGTTTATCATAAGGCTGGTTTGAGCTTTGACCAAACGGCCTATGTGGAATGTCATGGCACTGGCACCAGAGCTGGTGATTTCGTTGAGCTGAGTGCAGTTGCGGCGACTCTTGCAGCCAATCGCCCCCAAGACTCTCCAATCATTGTCGGCTCGGTGAAGCCAAACATTGGACACCTCGAAGGTGCTGCGGGAGTTGCTGGACTCATCAAGAGTGTTCTTGTGCTTGAAAAGGGCGTGATCCCGCCACAAGCCAACTTTATGACTGGGAATCCCAGGGTCGATTTCCAGGAATTCAGGCTCAAGGTTAGCAGAAATCTCCATCAAACTTGGTACTGAATACTCATTGACAATGCATACAGGTCCCCACAGACTTATGTCAGTGGCCTCTTCCTGGCCTTCGACGTGTCAGCATCAACTGTTTCGGTTTCGGCGGCACCAACGCACACGCCATTCTGGACGAAGCAGAATTTCATGTCAAAGGGCAAAGACCGCCTAGCATTGGCAGGCTGGCGACTGTGGCAGAGACAGAGGAAATAATGGTGGAAGAAGATTCTGCGACCCCCCTGCCCCAGCTGTTCACCTTTACCTCACCCGACCAACAAGGCGTGGTCCGCATCATGCACCAATATGCGGACCACATCCGGGATACCCTGGAGTTCAAGACGACCGAAGACCTCAACAATCTCTCCTACACTCTCAACTGCCGACGCTCGCAGTTTGACTGGAAAGGCTACGTTGTCGCTAACACCCAGGAGGAACTGGCTGAGACTCTCGACTCGACAGACGTGGACAAGGCTGTGCGATCCAAGACCCGACCTCATCCCAAGATTGCATTCCTTTTCGGCGGACAGGGCGCCCAGTTCCCAGGAATGGGGTCGGAGCTCTTTTATCGATTTGAAGTATTCCGCAGCAGTCTCGAAGCAGCGACTGAGTACCTTCTTGAGCACCTTGGCAGCCAGTTCAACCTCTTGACTGAGATTTTGAGAATTCAAGACGAATCAGTTATCCACAAACCTTCCATCAGCCAACCAGCCACAACAGCGATCCAGATGGGCATCGTAGATCTCATGAAGGCATGTAACGTGCACCCGTCATCGGCGGTGGGACACTCGTCCGGTGAAATCGCCGCAGCCTATGCTTGTGGAATGATTAGCCGCGAGGACGCATGGACCATAGCGTTCTATCGAGGAGCATGCGCTGAACAGATGAGCATACGACTTTCAGGGCCCAGATGCCAAGGTCTCATGTGTGCCGTCAGCATGTCCGAAGACGATATGCGGGGCTACCTTTCCCGCGAGAGTGTCTCCGATACAATCCAAGTGGCCTGCATCAATAGCCCAAAATCTGTGACCATCTCTGGTGACGCGAGCGGGATTCGACTCATAGCCGCTGAGCTCAAGGAAAGGGACGTTTACCATCGCATCCTCGACGTTCCGGTGGCCTATCACTCGTACCATATGAAGTACGTGGACTCGGAGTATAAAGCCTGTCTGCAGGATCTACCTATGGACTTTTGCCCTGGCATTGCCCCGATGTTCTCCTCCGTCACTGGCAGTCGCATGGAACTTGGCGTACAGTCCTCGAGGTATTGGGCTGATAACCTCACCTCTCCTGTGCTCTTCTCTGATGCTATGAAGATCATGCTTCAAGAATCGCACCCAGATCTACTTCTAGAGATGGGGCCTCAGAGCACCTTGAGGACGTCTATTGCAGATATTCTCGATGACATGTTCGCTGGTCGGCGGATTAACCTGGCCCCAAGATACGTGTCCGCCATGGCACGCGGAAACAACGAGACCTATTCCGTGCTGTCAGCCCTTGGGGAACTCTGGTCATACGGCTGTAATGTTGACATGCAAGGCTTGGTCAAGAAGTGAGTCAACTGCCACGCGTTTTATCTTGCTCTTGGAAGCTGACCAGACATATGCACAGGGCTTGTGTTCCTTTGAAGACTCTACGTGACCTTCCATCTTATCCCTGGGACCACTCTAGGCAGTACTGGCACGAATCACCGATGAGTAGAGAATACCGATTACGCAGTCACGGTCGCCAGGACCTTCTCGGCGAACCGACAGGAGACTCGATACCCATGGAACCGCGGTGGCGGGGTTTCTTGCGCGTGTACGAAAGTCCTTGGATCAGGGACCACCAAGTACAAAAGACCATGATCTACCCAGCCGCTGGCATCGTCACAATGGTCATAGAGGGGATTCGGCAACACACATCGGACAAAGCGGACAAGATTGCCGGCTTTGAGATCATCGACATGAATATCGAAGCGCCCCTGATTGTTCCCGAGAGCCGATATGGTCTCGAGACGAGCTTGAATGCAAAGCAGCTTTTCCAAGAATGGCATGATTCCCGTGGCATGTCCTACTCGTGGACGATATACGCCAGAGCTGAAGGAAGACCCTGGGCTCGACACGCTCGGGGCGAGGTGCAATGCCACATGCAGTCAATGCCAGATGCTGAGTCTGACCAAACACCAATGTTCGGCTGTGAGCATATGTTCAGAGCCGCCGAGCTGAAGTCGATCGAGGTTGTGAGCCCATTGCATATGTACCAGGCGCTCGAAGTTGTGGGCATGAACTATGGCCCATCATTCCATAATATCACCTCTGTGTCCAGAGGTGAAGACGTCGCAGTGGGACAGGTCACGATTCCTAACACGACGTCCATCATGCCGCACAAATTCGAATTCGATCATGTGTTGCACCCTGCAACTCTGGATGCGATGTTTCAGTTGCTGTTTGCAATTGACACAGCGCCAATGGTACCTACCAGGATCGATAGCATCTACGTCTCAACACAAATACCCAAGGATCCAGGAACACGACTCGACGGATTCGCGAACATCACTTCAATCAGCGTGAAGGGCGTTGAGGCGCAGCTTGCGATGACAGCGCAAAACTGGGATCAACCTGCAGTCGTTGTCAAAGGTCTTCATTTGAATGCGCTACCACAGACTAATTTCTTGCCTGGTCATCACAACCTCTGCACTGAGATCCGGTGGATGGAGTTCTTCGGCACTGCGAAACCCTCTCAACTTTCGCACCTCCTTCAGCTTGTGGCTCACCAGTACTCCGGTCTGTCAATATTACAATCTGGAGGCAACTACGACATGGCCAAACATGTACTCGAGATGGTAGCCTCTGGCGATGATCACGTCCCCCGCCTTTTGCGATATTCTTTGACAGGTCTAGACCAGGAAGTCCTTGTGGCCCTCAAGAACGCGTACAGCGGCTCTCCTATCAACAACCTTTTAGAGCGCCGTGTACTCAGCGGTAACGTGGAGGCTGATCCAAGATACCACCTCATCATCTCGGCCTCTCGCAACAGCGACCGGAATCGTTTGGTGGCGCTGCTGCACCCAGATGGACTCCTGCTTGAGACAGGGCCACATGATTCTTCTCCGAAGGTCAATTGTCGCATCTTGATTGATGACCCTCAACAAGTCACCATGGCATACTCTCAAGATGGAAACTATGTATCTGAGCAGCTGTGGCTGACTCGAGCACATCGACACATCGACGATCGCTACTTGAACATTCTTATCATCGTGCCCGATGCCCCTGATAGAAACCTCCAATATCTGGCGAGTTGTCTCGAAGCTAAGCTCTGCCAACTGGAGCTTAAGCCCTGTATCTCGACTCTTGAAGAAGCCTGCTCACGCGCTTCTGTTGAAGCAATGCAGACCACAATCATTTGGCTCTTAGATTTGAACCACTCAACCGAGAGTTCGTCCTCTTTCGTATGGAATTGGACTGAGGAGAGGTTCAACGCCTTTAGAATGATGCGTACTCTATCGAAAGCAATGCTTTGGGTGACCCGTGGGGCCGACAAGAAGTCAACGTTGCCCAAGAACGCGCCCATCATTGGCCTGGCTCGTACTCTAAACTCAGAGGACCTTGAAAAGGTCATGGTAACGCTGGACTTGGACAATGACAGCTGGATTGCCTCTCCAAGTGTCATTGACAATATCGTCCAGGTACATTTGCGTTCCATCCTACTAGTCCCCGCAGACGGCGTGGTCAGGGAAACAGAGTATGCCGAATCGAGCGGCAAATTATTCATACCGCGTCTTGTGCCTATCACGTCCCTGAATGCTCTCATCAGGGATAAGAATCTGGACATGCATCCGCGCATGATGCAATTCCTCGATGGCCATCGCAACGAGTTGACAATCAAAAAGGCAACAGAAGAACGTAACGATCCCGACTCAAACTTCTGCTTCACAAGGGCTTGCCCCCCCTGTAACCCGACTTGCGCCGCAGACAAGGTTCGGGTTATGTATCGTGCTTCATTCCTCCAGCACAAAGATTGGCAGACACTGGCCGGACTCACCAAGGAAAATACAATCGGTATTGATTTGGCTGGCGTCGTTATTACCGTTGGCAATTCTGTTCACAATATCAGGCCCGGTGACCAGGTTGTGGCTGTCGTTCCAGGAGGCGCCTTGAAGAGTGTACAGGACATTGATCAGCGATTCGTCAAACGAGTTCCTGGCGGCCTTCGAAAGTGCATTCCAAGTGCCTGGATTCAGGCCCATTATGGTCTCGTTACGCGGTGCGCCATCACCAGTGACCAGACCGTACTGATTCTTCACGGAACAAGTACTACTGGGCAGGCTGCCATCCAGATTACGCAAGCTTTGGGCGCAAAGGTCTACACAACCATCAGTGGCAACGACCTACAAGTTCAACGCAGAGAACTGTCTCGGCACTTCAATCTCGATGCCGATCGCGTTTATAACTCTGATGATTCGGACTGGTGCTCTAGGATGCTCCGGAGCAATGACCAAGTCAAGATGGACATCGTCTATAACCCGGGTCCGAGGAATCTCTGCGATGTGAAGCTGGTTCTAAAAGCCAGTGAGTATCCATCGAAACCGTGCGCTTTGGGGAAAAGAAACTGACCAAACTCTTTCTAGCTGGAACGTCGATTAGACATGCCGACAGCCTAGTCCCTGAGACCTGCCGGCCATACGAGGACCCTCCTCTGAGCAGCATTATCCGCCTAGACCTCGCCTTACTTCTCGAAAATGAGCCGGCGCTAGTCGGAGACACATTCACCAGAGTCGTAGATTTTGTGCAGGAGCACTATGGAACGATCCATCCAGTGCTCTTCACACGGGCTTGCGCCGTTGATTCTCTGTCTCATGGGTTCGCCGCGCTCAGAGACAATGGAACATGTGGAGGCACACTTGTTACAGCAGACACCAGCAGCATGGTACTCCTTCCCCCGTCCTGCCAGAACTCGCGGCTTCGAGACGCTTTGGATGATGGAACTTACGTCCTGGCTGGGGGCCTTGGTGGCCTCGGCCGCGGTGTCGCCCGACGGTTAGCCACTGAGGGCGCCAAGAATATCGTATTTCTTTCCAGGTCGGCCCCATCATCTATTGAAGCTATCGAGTGCATCAAAATCCTCCGCGATATGGGGGTCAAGGTTCTGCACATAATGGTAGACATTTGTGACGCAGGAGCAGTCAAAAACGCGTATGCCAGCATCGTGTCTTCAGGAATGGCGCCCATCTCCGGCGTCGTCCAAGCCGCAGGACTCCTCCAGGTGAGCGGCGTCCGTTGCCCTTCCGTCCGCCACGATATTAATAACTTGATACAGGATTCGCTATATGATAAGATGTCGTACGAAGACTGGATGAAAGTGATGAGACCAAAAGCCCTTGGCTCCTCCAACCTTGTCCAGTACTTCGGACGACCAGCCGATCTGGCTAAGCCTCCTTGGTTCATTTTCCTGTCCAGCTCTGCAGGGATCATTGGCAACAGAGGCCAAGCCAACTATGCCGCGGCCAACGTTTACCTAGATGCCCTCGCGCGCAGTGGCAAGATCATGGGGCGCGCCTATGCGTTGGACATTGGCCCGATCCTAGCTGCAGGCATGGCCACCGACAGCGACGAGACGCTGAAGATACTACGAGCCAGCGGATTTTACGGGATTCGTCTGGACGACTTCTTGAAAGTCTTTGAGCGCGCTGTCGTCGGAGAGATCCTTCCAGACGTCTTGATGCCGTCGCAAGTTGTGTTGGGAGTCGGGACGGGAGGCTTGATGCTTCAGAACAAGTCGGCTGATCCATTCTGGGCTAGAACGGCCCTTTACTCCTACCTGAAGCTGCTCGATATGCCGCCTCCTGACCTCAGCGTGATAGGCAGTGCGACAGCCAATTCGTTGAAGTCCAAGCTGGGGGCGTGTGAGGACTTGGCCGAGGCGACGGCTCTCGTTTGCCATGGTCTCAAGAAAGAGGTTTCATCCCAGGCGACCGTGGGCGCCGACCAGATGGATGAGAGTAAACCTCTGAAGGATTATGGAGTGGATTCCTTGACAGCAGTCCAAGTCCGTGCATGGGCCCTCGATAAAGTGGGTGTCAGCCTTTCGGTCTTCAATATCATGAGCAACAAGACGATCTTGGAGCTGGCTGAAGAGATGGCCCGGACGGCGACGGGACTAGGAAAGGACGGGGAATAGGAGCGTGGTGGACTCGGAGCCGGCTGAGGACGAGGGCCGGCGGGGGACGGCTGCAATTCGGGCCGGGCGGTAGGTGCGCGTTGCCCTCTGAAGGGCAGAACCTCTTGATTCTTCGTCATCTTGATAGAGTAATTGTAATATCAATTTGTAATAACATGATTCAGCGAAGTGCGATTTGATAGGCCGTGTTCACTGTCGAGCGTCCTCTGCTCCCCCTCGCTCATGGGGACCACGGCGGCTGTACTTGCAAATACCATCCCGCTACCCACTCGAATTCGCCAAGTACGCGCGTCACATCTTGATCACAGAGCCATTATTTATCATCGCGCATATGTAGAAGTTCGTTTCATTTCAAAGAATGTGGGTATACGCCTGTGCTGTACAGAGAGCTAGGTTTGAGGGAGGATACTGGAAGGAGTGTCGGCGACACGCCCGTCCCTCGCGAACCATGTCGCGTGGGCCGGATGTCTATCTAGCATGGCAAATGGCAAAGTAAGGAAAAAAAAATCAATCGCAAGTCCAATTTGGTCCTTTTTGTGGTCGTCCTGTCATTATCTCGAGAAGCGTCATGTAGTAAAAACCGCAGGACAACTTAAGGCTGAGTTGCCTTGGGTTCTTCCTCATAAGGAGGGAGATCAGCGACGTCGTCGTCGGCCTGACTCTCCAAGAGGCCGCTCTTCTCCTCGGCGACCGCCGACTCGTGTCGAGACGCCTTGGGGCTGGCTTGGGCACGACGGCGGCACTGGTGGCGAACCCAGGGAGATTCGCGGCGAACGACCAGTCGCCAGAGGCAGACGATGGCAGTACCAACAGCCATACCGATGCTGCGTTGTGGTTAGCAAACAGTGGGATGTGGGAGCGGGGAGAGTTGGACTTACATGCTCACGGTCACGCCTGCAATGAGGCCGACGAAGATGGGCAGAATGATGCCCCAAGTGATCATCTTGGCGAGCTGTCTCCAAGTGTGGTGAGAGCGCATGTGCTCATGACCGTGGTGCCCGTGGTGGCCGGTGTGGTGGCCAGCGTGACCCATGCCATGCTTCCTTCCGCATCCAGGGCGCATGTTCTTGAGGCTCTTGAAGAACTTGCAAGCGAAGGTGCGGCACTCGTCCTCGGGTGTCTGGTCGGCAGGGCGCGTCTCAACGGTGTCGATGGCAGCGATCATGAGCTTGCCTGCGGGGGTCTTGACGAGCTTGACGTTGATGTTGGGGATGCCATCGACAAAGTAGTTGCCAACCTCGATAACCTGCAAATCGAGCTGGATGAGCTCGAGCTGCTGGTCGGCGTCCTCCTTAGCCAAAGATTTAGTGCTGAGGCTGTAGCCAAGCTGGGGAGTGCGCGGGGTGCCCTTGAAACGATGCTTGGTAGCCTCCTTGATGAAGTCGGGCACCTGAGGTGCGCGCAAGCTGGAGTACCATGAGCTGGTCTTGGGGTATAGGGCGAAGTCGTTCACCAGCAGCCTGTCGACAGGTCCACTGCCGTCGATGGTGAAGACGAGATCGAGGTGGTTCTTAACGTCCGTCTTGGTGTCGACGCCCAGCTTGATGGGGCATCCGGGGCAGTCGAGCTTCAGCTTCCTTGTCTCGACGGAGCTGTCGGTGATTTCGAAGGGAAGGGCGTTGTGGACAGGGAGGGCGTTCACAATGTCCTTGTCGGCACCGGTGATCTCGGGAACCACAAAGGCATGGGCGGCGGTGGCTGCCAGGCCCGCGGCAGCTGTGAAGTGCTTCCAGAGCATCTTGTCTGTAGGTTGTCGAAATATAAGGCAGCGATTCAGTCGGTATTTGAAATGTCTGATTGTTGTTGTTGAATAGAGGATGTGATGGGGGTTGTAGAAGGCAGATAGATGATGTGGCGACCGGAAGGCCGGGAAGGTCAGTGGAATGGATGGGGGCCGTGCAAGCAACGCAGGTGCAGCTGCAACCAGCCGTGCTGCCTTCGACCTGCGTACCAAAAAGTGGAGATAGGCACGGATGACGACGCCGCAACCAGTCAGAGCAGCGGGATCTGTTCCAGAGTGGAGCTGCTCTAGGGATCTGAGGTGGGTCACGTGACGCCTGTATGACGAGACCCCTCCCCAAGTGAAGAGAGAGTGGTACCGATAGCGATCACACCGGGCTAGGCCAGGACCCTGAACTTCCGCCCCCGCTTCTGCTGAGGTGTCACACAGTCTCGTCTCGTTCGGCGTCTGATGTATGGGCAGAGAACAGGTGATTGTCGTAATGCTCAGAAGAGACGTAGCCAATTGTCTCAAAGATGGCCATGAGTTGCCTAGTTTTACTTGGCGCTTGTTTTGCGAACAATACACTAGGCAGAGACGAAATACATGACGACTGTGCGATATTGGCCATGCTGCTCGGTGTAGTCACTAAGGACTCAACCCTCTCAGTGCCTTCTAGACTCCAACATCTGGGTTGACGCTATCATTTCTCGCCGAGTCGAGATGAACTTCGTCAATGGAAATCGGCGTGGCTCATCAACGGCGTCCTCAGTCAATTGTTGAGGTGGGTACAGCCACAGTCAGGCCACCTGCGCCATGTCGTCTCGAGGTTGAGTATACAGGTAAAGGGGCGCGCCACGCATTTGTGGCTCACTCAAATCAGCAGAATCTCCCTGTGTTTGAGATAAATCAGCATGCCGCCCTGCGCAGCTCCAGTCTTGATAAGCCCGACATTTGCCATATTTGTGACCTCTGATCTCTGATCTCTGACCTCTGACCTCTGACCTCTGACCTCTGACCTCTGACCTCTGACTTTGATTGTGGAGACCCAGTCATCACCCACCGGCCTGGTCCTCAGCCACATGAACGCTGTCGGAGTGTCCGAACGCGAGATGAAATGAGAACTGGCTGTCTTGCAAGCCAAATCGTTCTCCTGCTAACCTCGTCCCGACTAGCGACGATTGACGCGCCACGAACGCGTCAGAAAGGCACGGGATTTGAGAGCGCGCACGTGTCTGGCGTCAGTTGTGGAGGCGGTCGCTGAAGACTTGACCGTCCTGCCCCAAGCAAGAACCCCCGGAAGAATGGTGATGTGATGGTTCCTGGAACCTGCGCCAATGAAACAGTCTAGCCCGAAAATAAACAACCGAAGATGACGGGAAAAAGGTGCCCACGTCGCCCAGCCGCCTGCCAAGCGTTACTGTCGCGGGCTGCTCTGGCGCCTTCGTATAGACATGTGGGGGAGTCTTTCGGCGGTCGGTTCGGTTCTGCGCGGAAGCAATGGAAAATCTCATCATGGGCCCGCTTCATTCCCTGATCATATCGTGCAATGCGCGCATATCGGTCTCGGCTCGTCATTTTAAGTCATATGGGGATCAATCAACATGAGGTGATTGTGTTATTACGAATGAACCGTCCAACTTCCTGGCAGATGATACAGGCTGAATAATAGGTGGAAGCCGGAAGCAAAAAAAGAAAAAGAAAAAAACCTTAAGGGAGACGACACGTGGATGAGATTCGGGTTGCCATGAAGTCTGGTGTCCTCACTCACACCTTAAGATGTACACTATGACAGCTCGGCCCTCTAAATAAGGTAGAATGAGTAAGACAGGCATGCGAGAAGAAACGGCGCGGCGTACGCAGAGCATTGGGTGGTTGCTTCAGGGCATGGTTTGGTATGTGATACAGATGGCAGACGGACAGGCCCTCTTGGCCCTCAGCGGTCCATTCTCCTCGATGCTGAGCAGGAGGTAAGGATGACTGGCGCCTTGGCCTGCATATGGATGGCAACGATCGACAGGAACATTTCGGCCAAGTCTCGCACAAACGTTGGCCCTGGAAGCCCTGGAAGACAAGAATGTGAATGACGAGCAGGGGTCCCGGCTGCAGGTGCTAGCGCTAGTGTTTGGGCTTGATCGAGGTCCCGCTCGGATTCGCCCATTCTCCGTTAAACCGACCTCAGGACCCTCTTTTCAGGGGGAAAAGGCTCACTGGCAGATGGGTCACTGCGAACCTGACTTCACCTGCCTTTCTTTCACACGATGCGTCGTCTTTCTGCCAGTCATCGCCCCAAGTCCACACGAGGCAATGCAACGTGAGTTTGAGCCAGTCCGGTGTTGCGCTGACGGGCGAACGCAGGGTGTCACTCGATCTGTCTTTGTTATGAGAAGTTGGAAGCTATCTTGGAGCAGCGTAGTCGCAGTAGGTAGTGCAACGACGTGGCTTCGGAGTGCAACACTATCGATTGAGCTGGGAGGCGCACCCCCCATGGACCCTCCTCTCGGACCTCATTTCTTCTTGGCTTCTAGGTGGCTCGTGGG